GTCCCCAACACCCTGGCCGCTTGGCTAGCTCATGCCCGAAATAACAACACACAAACTGTATTCATTTAAGAACTGCTTGGCCCATGAACTCTAGCCCTTACAGGCTAATTCTCGCACCTGGACTAGCCCATTTCTAATGATGTGTGTAAGCACCCCAAGGTGCGCTTACCGGGAAGATTCTAGCCTATGTCCATTCTGGGTTGGAGTTGCCTGGGAGAGCTGAGCATGGCATCTCTGCTCCAGAGAGCAGAGCTGTCGGGTCTATCCAGGAGCAGAGCAGAGTCTGACCTCACTTCCTCTTCCGCCCAGAATTCTATTCTGTTTACTCCTCCCATCTATGTTCTAAGCTATGAGGCCAAGCAGTTGGTTTATTATAATTAACCAATGACCTTCCTCCATCGGGGGGAAGTGTAGAACAGTAGTTCAATCTGTAACTGACTGTGAACAATCAATTGAGATAACTCACTACCTTCGACCAGCCAAGAAAACTTTTTTTTAAAAGACAGAGTCTCATGTAGCCCAGCATGGTCTTGAACTTGACATATAACCAAGGATGGCCTTGAATTCCTGATCTTTCTGTCTTCACATTCCAAGCTCAGAGATTGCAGGCCTTTATTACCATATCATATCCCTCATACAAATATTCACAAATATAAATAAATATATGGAGAATGACAAGTCAGGAAGATAGCAGACACATTTCTGGAGACTTGGTTTTGTTTAATCAAGCAGAATTCAAAATTCAGGATGTACATGAGTTAATATATGCCAATCAGGTTTTGGCTTCAAGTTTATAATTTTAAATAATTAAAAATAGCATAAGAAATGCAATATCTACCAGCTAACCTCAGTGAATAAACAGTATAAACACAGTTAAAAAACAATTAATCCATACTTATGTTATTAGCCAGTAGGATTCAGGATTTTCATTTTCTCATATGATCTTGTGAGGTAAGGACAAGGAGATGTACAAATGACTATTGCACTAGTTCTTGGATGAATATGAGAATGACCTGGGGGACTTAGGAGATTCTTAAAAGCCAAGGCCCACTCTGGCACGATATCATTGCTCTAACAGAGAATGGGTTTTGTTTTTTCAAGTTCCCTCAAGTGCTTCCAGAGTGTCTGTGAGGATTAGATCATGAATGAGAAAGTTAGTTATTGAACTGGAAATGGCCTAAGTTGGCCTGCTTTCCTAGAGCAGAGAGTGACGGTTAGAGAATAATAAAGGGTCTGTGGCTCCATAGTGGTAAATCATATTTTTGTCACAGAGGCAGGTCTTTAGCCAGCAGGGAGGAAAGCCCCAGTCTCTTGGGCCACCCTTGTTTCCCAATCCCACTGGCCACCTTGGTAGTCCATAGCATTTTTTGGATTGTTTATTTGGTTGGTTTATTTATTTTTGAGACTGACTCAAGGCAGCCCGGGCTGGCCTTGAACTCTTAATCTTCCTGTCCCAGCTTCCAGAGTGCTGAGATGATAGATTTTTCAATATCACGTAGAAAGCCTGCTTGTTAAATTAACGGTGGGACCTAATTTAGTAGATAGAAACCTATTATCCTCTTTACTTAAGCTGAGAGTAAGCCTAATCGTTTCCTTTTCTAAATAAAACTCTACCTGCCTCTGCCTCTAGAATGCTGAGATTAAAGGCATGTACCGCCATATTGGCAAAGGGGTGGAGTCACTACCTTTGCTGAGTGCCTTCTAGGTGCCAGACATTAGTTTATAATTTTTCAATATTAAGATAGACAAGAATACCCCCCCATTTATATTAATATTGGAGGAAATGGTAGATAAATGTTCTGAAACTTTTGAGTCCCCTCTCTTGTCCTCTGTCCAGAGCAGTATCTATAGAATTCTTGAAGAGAATTAATCAGTTAATCTCAATCTCGCAGATCAAGGGCCAGGCCTAAGTCTATCTCTTGTAAAAAGTGTGCATTAACTATGATACTTTAACCCATTGCCCATTTTGCTTTTCAGGGAGCTCATAGTTAACCAGTGATTGCTGGAGACTGCTCTAACAAACAACTGGACACTCCCAGAGCAGGCTGTCTTGCAGCCTGGGATATCTCGGCCTCCTCAGTCATTGGAGCATCTGTCATAGGGTCCATGACGAGTGCAGCTCCAGCAGCTCCTCCCTCATGCCCGCCCTTGTTTTCCTTCCAGAAGTGCTTCTTCTACCCCACACCCTTCAGCTTGTATTGATTGCAGGGTTTTATGCCCCATAGTTGGTAGGCTTGGTAGTTATAAAATAATGAAGAAATGTTGAACCTGCACATATGAACCTGTTTGAGTATTTTGTACATATAAAAATGTGAACTGAGCCAGGCCTTTAAACCCACCACTCGGGAGGCAGAGGCAGGCGGGTCTCTGTGAGTTTGAGGCCAACCTGGTCTACAAGAGCTAGTTCCAAGACAGCAGAGAAACCCTGTCTTGAAAAACCAAAAAAAAAAAAAAAAAAAAAAAAAAGAGGCCTGTACCTCTAGCCTAAGCAGAAACTTTGCCATAAGGCAAAGGTATAAATAGCTGTGTGAAAGTCTACCTGCAAGGAAAAAGCGGAATTAGATGGTGGTGTCTTGCTGTACAAAAAGGGATTGCTATGACTGGCTACACACTTACGACAGGAAATCATATTGGTTTAATCCTGAGGAGAGAACCTCAGCACTTGGTAATAACCTAGTCTTCCATCTCTAGGAAAGAGGAAGTAGAGTTCACATCCCATAGGTCAGAATATGTCTTCTAAGATGTGGACTGCTGGCAGAAACATTTGCCTGGAGCTTCCAAGCTGGGCTTGCCTGGTTCCTCTAATAACAGTGGACATGATATTTACAATGGGATATGTGCACTTGCTTGCTCTCGCACAACCTGTATCCAGGAAATGGAAAGAAATCACTGACTTCTGGAACTGTGATCTTCACTAGCCCCTAAGCTCCTTGAGAATAATAAGTCTATGAAATACCCATTTCCACATTCTGGAAGCATGCCTAACAAAGCACGTGATAACTGTCCTTCTGAAGACAGCCCCGCTGGCACCTCACCCCCTCCACACAGCCTCACACTGTTGTCAGTTTTAAGTGTAGTAAAACTCACGGCTTCCATCAGGTCTGACTTTCCTTAAGGTGATAAGTTCTCCCCAGGCAAGATAAGGCCTGGTCATTTAGGAAGACAAAGTGGATAGTATGCTGTAGATAACTTATGGACTTATGGACTTATCTTTTGGGGGGGGGGTAATTACCTTTTTTTTTAAAAAAAAAAAAATACTGGCCTGGAACTAAAAAGACCCGGTTGGCCATGAACTCTGAGATCTGAGACTGAAATTTGAAATGAAGTTTATGCCCTGGTAATGCTTTAGCATGCATAGGCAGCCCGTATATGGCTGTTCTGTTGAACTTGTCCATACTTGGTTTCATGATCTAAGTTGTTGAGGACAACTGACCAGGTCTCTTCCTCAAGAGGGCACCGGATCTCATAGCAGATGGTTGTGAGCCACCATGTGGTTGCTGGGAATTGAACTCGGGACTCAGGACTTTTGGAAGAGCAACCAGTGCTCTTAACTACGAAGCCATCTCTGACTATAAACTCAGAGATCTACCTGATTTTATCTCTCAAGAGCTGGGATTAAAAGTGTGCACCAGCACTTCTGGCAAAAGGGTTAGAGCCTACTGTGTGCCTGACATTAGTTCCTAAGTTTTCAACATTAAATTAAGACTAATGTACACCCCCCCCACACACACACCCTTGTTTATATAGAACATGGGAAACTTGGAGACAGTAAATGTTCAAAAATCACAGCCAGTAGTGCAACTACAAAAACCACCCTCTGCCTAAGCAGAATCTGACACACAGTAGGTGTTCAGCAAATATTTCAGTAAAATTTTCACAAGGGTGAGGCACCATTCTCTCCTGGGATGTCCAATGCATTCGTAGAAGCAATAGAAATCAAGTCTAGGGTCCAGGCCCCAGCATGGCTTGGGACATGAAGTCCGGCCACCTCAGACCTAGAGGCCGGGTTCGCCACCACATCTCGTCTTTTGGGGGTGGCGGTGGCCCCCAGCTTGGAGTGGCCCCGGCCAGCCCTGCAGGCGGGCAGGAGCTCCCAGGCCATTGGCTGGCGCGCTGGCTGCGAAGGGCGGGGAGCGCCACCGAAAGAGACTGTTTGCTCCTACGGGCTGTAGATGGAGCTGTCCGGCCCCGGCTAGGGGGAAGACGCCTGGAAAACGTTCTTCTTCTCCCTGGCCGGCCCGAGCGGGGAACAGCACTCCCAGGATGCAGTTTGTGTCAACACGGCCGCAGCCTCAGCAGCTGGGCATCCAGGGCCTGGGGCTGGACAGCGGGAGCTGGAGCTGGGCCCAGGCTCTGCCCCCGGAGGAGGTCTGCCACCAGGAGCCGGCGCTGCGCGCGGAAATGGCCGAGGGAATGCCGCCCATGCAGGTGGGTGCAGCGCCCGCGGGCGCCATGGCCGCACCGCTGCCGTGGGGGCGGGGCGGGGCCGGGCCTCGGGGAGCCTCGCGGCTGCCGCGGTCCCGAGCGGCCGTCGGAGCGGGCCCGGCGCAGGCCCCGAGCGCCCAGGGCCTTCCGCGCCGCCACGGTGCAGCTGCCCGGGCCGGTGCTGCCCGGGTCGGTGCTGCCCGGGCCCAGGGCCCACGGGTTGCAGGAAGCAGGGCCGTACTGCCCCGGACCTGGCGAGCCGTGGCCGCTTCTCTGAGCGGGGACCGGGGTTCCTCTTGGCGTCCGATCCGCCTGGGTTTGCGGCAGGCCTTTTCCTGGCCCACAGAGGGAACAGTTCAACCATGTTTACACTGTAGTCAGCTTAATAAAAGGGTGTAAAGCTATTTTATTGCTGTCTTTCTCCGAGTATAAAGAGCAGCCCACTTTTTCTCTATACAAGGGGTGAGCCTGGGAAGGGCCTGGGAGGGGACTTTGTCGTCTTGGGTTAGCAAACTTGGTTGCTTATTGGAATCGCCCGAGCAGTTTAAGACAACTGACTACGCCCAAACCGCATCCCTGAGCGTTGTCTTGGGGTCCTGGGGGTGAGAGAGAAGGCTCCAGCTGTTTCTTTACGTTCCGTAAGTGGTCTCAGGGTGCCTAGGACTTAGCCAGCACGGCCTTGAGTATAAATCACAAGGGGAAGAGGGTTCAGAGTGGCAGCGGATCACTGTCTCAGAGGGAAGGCTTGGAGTTGCCCCGGGACTGGACTCCGCAGAAGGCTCCCGTGTTCCCATCTGATTCTCAGCCAGGAGTTAGGACTTGACAAGTCAGTCTAGAGTCTGTGTTGTTATTGAGCAGAAGGTTCAGCAGTAGATCTTCAAACCTGGTGAGACGCAACAGCCCCTGACTTCCTAAACTTCCACTGGCTCTCTTCTTTTCTCTGACAAGGCCCCAGTGGACGGCACTGACGGCAATCCAGCCACCAGGATCCGGCAGGGGCTGGTATTGCTAGGGCCCAGTTGTTCTCTTTCCCCTGTCAGAGAGGAATTCTTAGACACTGTGGGGTGGTCCTCTGAGCTGTGGGGGCGGTCACAGCTTCTCTGAATTTGAGAAAATGGTTTGCATGATTGTCAAAGGCTCACCTCACAGCTGTAGGGTTCCACTTTTTCCAAGAACAGAAGCAGGGAGAAAGAGAGAGAGAAAGGGACATTTCCGCCTGTCCTGTGTGGGAACAAGCGTCAGTTATCAGCCTGTGTTGCCAGCCATCACACCCTGACCAGCGTCCGCGCTCCTTCCTCTGCCGTAGGGCTCAACTCCCAGCCTGGACCTCCTGAAAAATACAGGAGACGACTCTGGGCGACAGGGAGCCCCCTTCTCAGGAAGCAGAGAAGGAAGCGTAGAGCTTTCCCTTGTGGCCCTCATGGAGGTGAAGAATGCCCCTCTCCCTGTCTAATAAGTGATACTGCCTAGTAAATCTATTTACATTTTGCATAGTTATGAAAAGTGGCTCTGTATGGAACTCAACGACTTCTGGTCTGCCGCTTAGCCTAGGTCCTTGTCTCCTCTGGCTGGTTGGTAGGCCTAGCAGGACTAGCAGAGGCTGCATGTTTGCAAAGTGTTTGTGTTAACCTGTGGCACCTAGAACCGTGCCGGTTGGCAGTGCAGGGCGGTGCTGAAGAATGACCAGCTGCTTCTTTGTTCCCTAATTTCGTCATCTGTAAAGCAGAGATAATCATTCTTGCCCTAACCTGCAAAAGAGATTGCTCCGAAGATTAACTTCAGACAAGTTACATGGAAATTCCTACCTTGAAACAAAGAATGAGAGTCAAATGGGAAGTTTGTCATTCGGCGTCGCCCATGAAGAAAGCAGCTGTTCTAGGCAGAGAAAGGGTCTGTGACACAGTAGGCAGGGGGCCGTCACCTAGACTTGCCATTGGCCAAGACAGGTGAACATGTAAGCAGTCTGGCTCTCCTAAGAGGAAATGGAAGAGTGGTTAGTTGGGTGGATGGGTGGTTGCTCTAGCTATCACTGATGTCATTAATGAGCTCAGCCAGAGGTGGATGCTGGGTAGAAGAAAGATTCTGCATAGCACTTGGTTGGTTATCCCATTTTAGGCCACCTTCTCTCTCACACACGTTCTTACCCTGAGCTGTCACTTTCTACCCTTGTACACAGGCTCAAGAATGGGACATGGATGCCAGGCGACCAATGCCTTTCCAGTTCCCGCCCTTCCCAGACAGGGCCCCTGTCTTTCCTGACCGAATGATGCGCGAACCCCAGTTGCCCACAGCAGAGATCTCACTCTGGACCGTGGTGGCTGCCATTCAGGCCGTAGAGAGGAAGGTGGATGCCCAGGCTAGCCAGCTGCTGAACCTGGAGGGACGCACAGGAACAGCCGAGAAGAAGCTCGCTGATTGCGAGAAGACAGCCGTGGAGTTTGGTAACCACATGGAGAGCAAGTGGGCCGTGCTGGGGACCCTGCTGCAGGAGTATGGGCTGCTGCAGCGACGGCTGGAGAACCTGGAGAACCTGCTTCGCAACAGGAACTTCTGGGTCCTGCGACTGCCCCCTGGCAGCAAGGGGGAGGCCCCCAAGGTATGTTGTGAGACAGGGGCAGAGCTAGAGGTGAGGATCCACACAGGTGAACAAATCTCATCTTGTCAAGCGGTGCAGATTTCACTGGTCCCATGCTGTCTCAATGGCCATGTGAAGCCTGTCCTATGCCCTTCACTTGGTCCTGAGTTGTGCCCCAGCAGAGCTGGCCCTATTCCCCACAACCCCATATGCTTATCTTAGAGGCTTTGATCTTGCTTCCCTGAGTTGTTCAGCTGTCTGTAGAACTGTGGGTCTTACTGCTTGGTTTTACTCATTTGACAACGTACACGTTTGTCTGGATGGGAGAAAGTCATGCTGCCTAGAGTCATTTTTGAGTTATGATCACTGATTTCAGAAGGGCCCTTCTAGAATTTAGAATTCTATTCCCTTTTCCGCCATCCTGGTCCATTAATACTGCATTCTCAAGTTGACGGCCCTGTTGTCTATTTCTCTGAGAGAATGGAGTCTTCCAAAGCTGGATATAGTGGCTCACACCAGGAATCTAAGCACTAGAAGAGATGAGGCAGTAGGATTCCATGTGTTCGAAGGCAGTTTGATCTAGATAGTGAGTTTCAGGCCAGTCCAGGTCTATAGAGTGAGACCCTGTCTCAATAAAGCAAAAACAAGGCTGGAGAAATGGCTCAATGGTTAAGAGCACTGGCTGCTCTTCCAGAGGATTTGGATTCAATTCCCAGCACCCACATCAAGTGGCTCACAACTATCTATAACTCCAGTTCCTGGTGATCCAGTGGAGATCCAATAACCTTCGCAGTTACCAGCATTCATTTATGGAACACACACACACACACACACACACACACACACACACTGAAAAATAAATAAATAAAAATACAAAGCAAAAACAGTGCTGGCAATGGCTTGGTAAAGGCACTTGATCCAGGGGACCTAGACCACAGAAGGTGAGAACTGACTCCCGCAAATTGTCCTCTTATAGGCACGCGCATGCAAATAGATGTAGCAAACAAACAAAAGAGGTGTTTCCATAAACAGAAGTATAGAAGTTCATCCCTTGGTCTGCCGTCTTGGTGCATGTGGGTTCTGCCTCCACCTGTCTCTGTGGCCCTATGTCCACCCCTGCTCTTTCCTGTACATCATTAGCTGTCTCCTCTCTCCTAGACCCTCCACACCACCGTGTGAACATTGTACTCCTCTTTGGACCCCACACTTCCCTCTACCTCATTCTCACCATCAGTACAGATAAAATGCCTTGAAGAGCTGTCTATATTTGTTACATCCAATACCTCCCTACTTTTCTATTCCAGGCTCTTCAGATCCATACCAAACTAGGTAGGATATTGAACCCCTAAGTGCCCATCGTGAGCCTCAACAATCAAACTCCTGACTGATCTTTTTTTTCTACTAATTCCCCAACTCTTGTTTTATTCTGAAGCTAATCCTAGGCATCAGTAATTTTTTATATCAGCCATCGTGATGGCATTTAATCCCAGCCCATATGGGGCAGAGGCAAGCAAATCTCTGAGTTTGAGACCAGTCTATCTATGACAAGTTCCACATTACCCAAGCGCCATCTTTTCCACCATAATGTTCAGATTTTCAATTGATTCTTTTTCTCCATTTTCTTGTTTGAATCAAAATGTAAAGAGTCAGACGTGGTTGGGTGATAGTTTTCAGGACTTGGGGTCACTCTTTGTACTGTGGGTTCTGGGGTTGAACTTAGGCCGTCAGGCTTGTGAGGCATACATTTTTTTTTCCTTTTCTTCCTTCCTTCTTTCTTTCTTTCCTCCTTTCTTCCTTCCTTCCTTTCTTTTTTTCTTTTGCTTTCTTTAAGACAGGGTTGCTCTTTGTAACAGCTCTGACTTTCCTGGAACTTGCTGTATAGACCAAGCTGGCCTTGAACTCACAGAGATCTACCTGCCTCTGCCTCTTGAGTTCTGGGATTAAAGGGGTGTGCCACCACCTGGTGTGAGACATATTTTTCTGGCCTAGAACTTTTTGAAATCTGTAGGCTCACTTCCTTCATTTCTTAGCCTTCATTGTACTCTGTGTAGTGGAGGAACTGGCTGTCTGGATCCTTTATTCTCATTGAACAGGTTCATCTATTCTCAGTATTCTGATAAACTGGTAACTCGATAACTCTCTCTGCAACTAACTCCAGTCAGACTTTTCATCCCATCTTCTCTCCTATTGGTCTTCCTAAGGTCTTCATATGTGTGCCTTTAAGACCATTAGTCTGGTCTCTGCTGTCATCCTCTTAATTCCGTCACCAGTAGCAGGTGGCTACTCCTTCCTTAAAACACCTTTCATGTGCTTCTCGGATGCCTCTCTCTCTTCTCGCAAGATGCTGCTCCTCGGTCTGCCTTGCTGGCTTTGCTTTCTCCTGTCATCGTCTGGATGTTTGTGGAGTGGTCCTGCCTCAGCCTTAGCATTTGTGCTCATTGTGCACCCTCTGCGCATACGTCATCCAGACCCATAGTTTAAACTGCAGTTCATCTGCTTAGGACTCCCATACGTACCCTTCCCCACCTACCCCACCCCTGTCATTTTTCTTGGAGATCAGGTGCACATTTCTTCCTGTTACCTTCGCATCCTGTATTTAATACGACCAGACTGAACTATGGGTCTGTTGGCCTGAAGCCTGTTTTGTCCAAAGTCACCCTCATCTTTGACAGATCCATCCTTTCTGTCATTCAGATCGAAGTCTTGGGATCTTAGCTGCTGTCTTTCTCATGGTCCACCTCTGGTACACCCCCATAGTCTGACCAGCCCCATCACCTGCTTCCAGCCAGTCTCATCTACCTTTTTATTATTTCAACCTCTTGACCTGCTCCTGTTCTCCATCCTTGTTTAGGTCCCATGCTACAATGTATACCTAAAAGAATAGCCCCAGTGATCCCATTCACATACCTCATTCATGGGCTGGAGATGTGGCTCATTTGGTAGAACGCTTGCCTAACATGCACGAACTGATCCCTAGCACCTCATAAACTTTGGCATGGTAGCACACGCCTGTAATCACAGTACTTGTGAAAGGGAGGTGGAAGCAGGAGGATCTGAATTTGAAGATCATCAAGGCTATATAGCAAATTCAAGGCCACCCTAGGGATATATGATATATGAGACCCTGCCTTTAAAAAAAGTTAGTGTCATGCTGTACCCATCTGTTGGCTTCTCATCTTTTTCTTCTTTTTAAAATGTAGTTCGCATGCAAGCTTTGGTTTTTTTTTTAAGTGTATTTTATTTAGGTGTTTGAGGGGCATGTACCACAGCATGTCTGTGGAGATCAGAGGATAACCTGTTGGAGTGGATTCTGACCTTCTATGTGGGTCCCAGGGATGGAACATAGGTTGTCAGGGTTGGTAGCAGGTGTCTCTGCACATCGAGCCATCATCACATCAGCCCCTGGCTTCCCATCTCTTCTGAACAGACATGCAGCTTTGCCGCCTTCTTCAGGGGCATTCCTCCCGGAAGCACCTTCCCTGATTATCTGGCTGCTTCTCTACTTCCATGGGGTTTGCTTAGCTGTTCTTTAATCCATGTGCCCTCCCATGATCACCTTATTACTAAGGAATCAAACCCCACACTGAGTGTGGTAGCACATGCCTGGAATACCAGCGTTTGTTAAGCAGGAAGATTTTGAGTTTGTAGCCAGTCTGGGATATTGAGTTCAAAGCCAGCCTGGGCTACATAACAAGGCCCTGTCCGAAAGAAGAAATAAGGTGCTTCCTGAATTTTGAATATTTACTTTTTTTTTTCTTTTGGATAGCTTCCCCTAATCAGAATGTAAATTATTGGTTTATAGCTGTACCTTGTGTTTATAGTGGCAACCAGCATAGAGATGGTATGTGAAACTCATTTACTTAGTCTTTCACTAAAGAACTCAGAACTCCTAGGAAGGGACCATGTCTTAGTAGGGACACCCAGTTTGTTGACTCTACCGGGAGAGCTGCCAGACATCCGTGTGTCTAGGCTGCAAGAAATTGAGCTGTAGTAGCCCTGAGTGGATCTTGCAGCAACTGTGATTTTGTATATGTTGCTTGAGCAGCATGATCAGCATCTAGTCATCTGCTTCCCTTTGCTTTTGTCTCTACTGTGTGCCTTAAGATGTGCAGTATCCTTACCTGCTGCCACTTGTTCTATGGAGTGGTAGGAGCCTTGCATTGCCATGCACCATTGCATGATAGTGGAAATGTTTGTTTTGTTTTTTTTTAAGCAGGCTTGGGTTTGCATCTTGACTGTGCCACCTTCTGACTTTCCTACTATTGGCCAAGTATATTTTGTTGCCTCTGAACCTCTTTAGTTTCTCCTTAAAGAAGTGTCAGTAGTGATGCAAAGTCCTAGTTGGTCCCTTTGAGCTTCATTGTTGTCATTTATAACATGAAGATAACATTGTAATTGCTTTTTGGAGTTACAAGAAGTCATTGATTTTTGTTTATGGGAAAACACTATGTAGTCATTGTTACTTACTTGTTGACAGGCAGCAAATGACCCCAAAATGGTAGCCTAAAAATGGATATCATCTGATAGTTTCTGTGAGTGAGGAACTGGGGACAGCTTGGGTGGTTCTGCCCAGTCAGTCCTGTGAGGTTTCAGTGTGACTTTTGACTGGTAGTACTGTCATTTGAAGGTTGACTTCAACTCCCTTACCTGGTTGTTTGGCCCCTCCAAGACTCCTTGACCCTACTTACAACATAGACGCTACCTCCCTATTTCCTAGAATGAGGGATACAAAGAGAGACTAGGATGGGTGTTGTGGAGTCTGTGCTATACAGTGTCACTTCATTTGCTTAAGGGAGTGACCGAGTTCTGCCTGCATTCAAGAGGTAGAGAATTAGGCTCATCTAACCTGAAGGGACTGAAAAATATGTATACTGGGCTAGGGAGACAGCTCAATCAGTAACATGCTTGCCATACAAGCACAAGGACCTGAGTTTGACTCCCAGAATCCATGAAAAATAGCCAGGCATGTTGGCGTGTGCTTGTAATTCCACGCTGGGGAGGTGTCGACATAGATCCCTTGGGCTCGATGGCCAGCCAGTCTAGTTTCAGAGATGAGCTCTAAGCCATTGAAAGCCTGTCTCAAAGGAAGTGAATACCTAGGCATACACGCATACCTGCGCACACAAACATGAACACATATGCACAAAAGGAATCACTACAAACTTAGAGTGTTCATGAATGTTGTGTACCACAGTTAATGGCTCACTGTATGTCCTTGGGTGTCCAAGATGCATTTTTGTTATCTGTTAGGTCTAGGAAGGATATGGTCTCTCCGATCCTTTAGCCCTATTATGTCTACTGATGGATTCCTAGCTAATTCATGGGTAGGCTTTCCTGTCTGCAGCTCCTCTGCAGTTCCTTTCTATCTCAGACTGTGGCTCAGATTTCTATATTATATCACTGTGAAGCCTTTAAAGAATGATGCCTGTTTCCAACTGTATAGAAATTATTCTGAAGTTTTGATTCTCCAAGAAAATGGTAAAATAAAATGAAGAGGCTGCTATACTGCAGAAGATGGTGAACACACCTTGGATATATTTAGTGCTAGATGCTTACAGGTGACTTAGAAGGCTATGGAACTTGAAGGTGACAAAGAAAGCTTAAGCCTTCCTTAAAGAGGTAACAGTTGCAATAAAAACAATGACATTACCAAGAGAAAGGAGAAGAAACAGAAAAAGATAACAGCAGAGCTTCATCTCTGGAGATGAAGAAGAAGCAGCAAAGAGGACGTGAGCAGCCAGCTGAGTAACAGGCAGCACAGTCACAGGAACCAAACAAGCTCTAGAAAGGGGGTCTTGTTGTAAAAGCCCACTTGTTTGTTACCCTGCTGCCCGGACTCCCAAAATAATCATGCAGAAACTATATATATATACTTTTATCTGCATTTATTTCATGTAGAATTTATTCCCATGCCAGAAGTTTTTGTTTCTTCAGTTTCTTCTGGGATATCTTTTTCTTCTGTGCAACCTCCTCTTCTGGCTTTGGAACAATCTGTTCCTTTTCAGTGAGGATCATCTTGATGTGGCAGGGGTAGGAGCTCATGTATGGGTTAATCCGGCCGTGAGCTCTGTAAGCTCGTCGGCGCATCTTAGGTGCCTTGTTCACCTGGATGTGCTCAATGACCAGAGAGTCCACATCTAAACCCTTCAGTTCAGCATTGCTCTCTGCATTTTCCAGCATGTGCAGCAAAAATTCCACACTCTTTTTTGGCCACCAACCCTGTGTCCAGCTCCACTGTTTGGCCTGGGCGCACCTACTGTCTCCACCATTGTACCATCGGAACGGCACGCACTGCTTCTTCAAAGTGACGTCTTTCAGATACTTGGTGGCTTTTTGGATATGCATACCCTTGATGGCCTGGGCCATTTCATGGGTGTTCTTAAAGTGAACCTGAAGGTTTGATCCTCTTGATTAGCATGATTTTTAGGTTTTTTTTGGGTCAAGAGAGTAGCGAACTATCTTTACGGGTCACCTCTAGCCGCTTACAGGAAGAGTGAAACTATATTATTTAAATCACTGCTTGGCCAATCACTTAAGCGTATTGCTATCTGGCTCTTACATCTAGAGTTAATCCATTTCCATTATTTTCTATTTTACCACAAGGCTCTTGGCCTATCGGCAAGGTTTCAGCTAGCAGCTCACGTGTTTCCCCTCTGACAGCTCCATTGCATCTCACTGACTCTGCCTTCTTTCTCCCAGCATTCAGTTTAGTTTTCCCCGCCTAGCTCTATTCTGCTAAGCCACTGGCTGAAATAGATTCTTTATTCATTAACCACTAAAAGCAACACATAAACAGAAGGACTTCCAACACCAGAGTCTGTCTTATACCAAAGGGAGATTTTAGCAGCAAGTCATTGGTGAATTTTCAGGATATGGTTTTTTAAAAATATTTATTTATTTATTTTATATACAATATTCTGTCCGTATGTCTGCTTACCAGAAGAGGGCACCAGACGTCACTACAGATGGTTGTGAGCCACCATGTGGTTGCTGGGAATGGAACTCAGGACCTTGGAAGAACAGGCAATGCTCTTAACCACTGAGCCATCTCTCCAGCCCCCCAGGATATGGTTTTGTTTTAGAGAATAGATGTTAGATTTTAGGAAGCTAAAATGTATATGGATTTTGAAAAAGGAAAAACAGACTTTAACTAGGATACGGGAGCCAGGCAGAGTGAACGGAGATAGCAGAAATCTGCCTGCCTCTGCCACCTGAGTGCTGGAATTAAAGGTGGTCACCACGACTGCCCAGCTGGGTTTGTTTTGTTCTACACTTTATTTATTTATTTATTTATTTATTTATTTATTTAATTTATTTATTTATATTTAGTGTGTGGGGGTGTGTGTACGTACACACACCATAACACAGGTGTAGAGACAGGAGTAAGTTCTCTCCTTCCATCGTGTGTGTTTTGAGAATTGGACTCAGGCCACCATGCTTGGTGGTCAGTGTCCTCACCCACGAAGCCATCTAATCTGAGAGAATGAAGGTTTCCTAGGTTGAGATGATGCTCAGGAGAAAGAGCCAATGAGAGGGAGAAACTGGAGATGTGGACCATCAGCATTATTTGGATTGACTTTTACAGATGGGAGGAGGCAGAGAAATACAGAATGAATATGGCAGGTTTGACTTAGCAAGAAGAAAGGGGCAGAGAAGAGGCCCCCTAACACCAGCCTGGGGTCAGAGAGAGGTAGGAGAAAGTACAGGGAAGCCAGATGGGGCTGGGGAGTGAGGTTTGTGGTAAACTTCTGGTGTCAATAAGGCTTCCAAAGCAGCTGAGGGGCAGCTGGTGTGAACTTGTGGCAGATGTTGATTGCAGAATTCTGTAGTTTAATCTAGCAACGGGGAAATAAAATGAAGAAAGGGGTTGCATGCTTTTCCAGATTGGGGATTTGCCCAAGTCTGGTAGGAGCTCTGGTTCTAATCCTAATGATGGATAGGGAGCTGTCGATGGGTAGGCACGTGGCCACTGAACAGTTGTGTATATCACACTTGTATAGGGTCCCTTTGCAGTTTTATGCGCCTGGCTTGTGGACTGACAGACCTTGCACCAGTAGCTGTGCACCTGGCCCTGCCCACTCTATCATTCACACCAATGGCCCACACAGGCCAGCTTTGGCCCTGAACATGCAGGCAGGTGTGTAGACGAGGGGCCTGGATGCTGGTTCACTAGGGATGTGAGAGGGGCAGGAAGGAAGCCTGTGTGATCAGAGAGGGAAGCTCAGGAATTAGTTAATGGAAGTGAAACGACTTGGTTCAGAGCGGGGTGGAGCTGGAGAGGCTGAAGTGAGTATGGATGAGGCTCCCGGTCAGAATGAAACAGCATCTCTACAAAAGATGAGAACACCTTGACGGGCAGTGACTGGTGGCAGCCACAGCCATAGCAGAACTTCCTCGTAGAGACAGCTCAGGATCCTGGTGCCGAGGCACATGCCTTGCATTGTCCATTTTTGTGACAAAATTTAACTTTTGGGGGCTGGAAAAATGGCTCAGTGGTTAAGATCACTGACTGTTCCTATAAGGGACTCAGGTTTGATTCCCAGCACCCAAATTGAAGCTTACAACCACTGTAACTCCAGTTCCAGAGACTCTAGCCCCTCTTCTGGCCTCTGTGAGTATGGTACACAGACATTTTCATGTAGACAAAACACTCATACACATAACATAAAAATAAATCTTGAAAAAAAAATTAACTGTGTACACACAGGTGACCCGACCTGAAATACAGGTTTTGTCGTGCAGTTTTACAGCTCTTGGCTTCCTGATTCCCACATTTGGCATCTCTCAAATCCCTGTACCCTGAACTCCTAAACAAGCACACTGACTGTGGCTTTGCCTTCAGTGTTTAGTTGTCTGAAATGGCAAAGGGCAGGACTAAGTGCTTAATAAAAAAGAAAAGAGAAAGCCAAGAAATGGCTCATCAGGAAAGGGCTCATGCTACTAAGTCTGACCGTCTGGATCCTGGTAGAATTTGAGAACCAGTTCCTGCAAGTTGTTCTCTGACCTCTGCATGTACCATTGCATAGATGTTTCTACACACATTTGTACAATACACAGGAAATAAATAAAATGTTGCCGGGTGGTGGTGGCGCACGCCTTTAATCCCAGCACTCGGGAGGCAGAGGCAGGCGGATCTCTGAGTTCTAGACCAGCCTGGTCTACAGAGCTAGTCCCAGGACAGGCTCCAAAACCACAGAGAAACCCTGTCTCGAAAAACCAAAAATAAATAAATAAATAAATAAATAAATAAATAAATAAATGTTTACAAAAAGAAGGCCGGGAGG